GTGGTCTAGAAAACTGTGAAATGTAAAAATGTAGTAGCAATAATAATAGTCACAGTCAATGTTATTAATGTCTAATTTTAGTGTTGTCATTCTCTCTATTAGCTAAGTCAAGTGGTCAAGTGAGGGCTGTGGCCTTGGGAAGAATCCCAAGAGCCAGGCAGAGGGGCAGAGGGAGCTACCTTTGCTCCCCAAGCTTGAGGTTCCCCATCTCTTCTGGAAAGCTTACTTCTAGCTTCCTCTACCCCTTCTTTCCACATGTTTGTCAAAGTGCCACTTCATTTAGTCTAATATGGAGCAATATGTCCCCATCTGATGGCTCATTTATGATCTCTTGAAGACATTTGCAGTTTTGGCATTGTTGACACAGTTCTCCAGCCTGCATCTGAACTGCTGTCAACTTAGGGAAGCAAATTGAAATGTAAAGCGCCGAGAAACTATAATTCAATTAGCAATGACCAAGACTGACATAATGATCTGATGTTTCCTGCTCTAACAGTACGCTGCAGATTTCATGCATGACGATACTATTATGCCATCGCATATAAAAATAAGGTTAATATTCAGAATGGCAACAGTGGGGAGAGGAATTATCCCTTAAATTACTAAAGAAGAATTCAGATTGTATTGCAATGCTATCCCCTAATGATCCCAGCTTCCCTATGGATCTCAGTGGGAAATTTAGCTTCTAATCAATGTCCAGAATTGTAGCTTTGCCAAAATGGCATAGGAACAAATACTGTTAAAAGTCAAGGTGAAAAGGATGATATATCATAGAAATATTTTTTTTATATAAAAAAGACTTACAAGTACTGGAAGATAGGCAATATTTTAAGCTGCAGGGGAAACAGGTTTATAAAAAGATATGTGCCAAATTTTTATAGTATTAGATTTTTGATATGAAAATCAACTTTTTGAAGAGGCTGGAATGTATAAATTCTTTTTCAGTGAAAGTCCAATGTCCTATGTCCTTTCTGGAAAACAAACAAACAAAAAACACAAATGCTTGTGCTGGAAATGGTTGCTCTTGGTTTAAATGAGTGGTCTTTTTCTTCTTCTTCTTCCTCCTTGGACAACATTTCCCAGAGTGCTTCAGGGTGCTGATTGGCCCTGATCAATGCCAAGGAGTCACTATAATTCTTTCCTCCTGCAAGAGGTGTGACTATCACACTAGTCAACTGTGGATATTCCATCTGGAACAATGACCATTAATTCAAGCTGGTCTTACATCTACTTACATCCATTCAAGTCAGTAGCACTTACTTCTGAGTAGACACATAAAGGATTGTGCAGGAATGTAATCAATGCTAACCATAAATGCAATAAGCTGCCCTTTATCAGCTTAAATCCAACTCTGATTGGCAGCAGTTCATGGAGATGGTTCTCTGTGTAAGGCAGAACAGAAAACTAGTCTCCACCCTCCCACTATGGGCTATAAAAACCAAATTATCTTGGCATGTGAGTAGTCGATGCATAAAATCACAAAAGGACCATGTTGTTGGGATTTTCCATTCCACCTATAGTTACAGACATGGGACTGTTACATGTCACATGTCTGTTTACATTCCAGCACAGTTTTGCTGGTGTAAGTGGAACTTCCGCTGTGTTGCTTTTGTTTTTGCTTTTCTCTCTCTCTCTCGGAAGAGACGGCAAGGAGAGACGACATTTTTTTTTGTCCTGATTTATGTTTAATAAATCCGTAGTTTGTTAGTATGTCTCCACAAGCCTCAAGCCTCTTTCATTGCACAGTTTGCTCTGCTAAGTAAAGTGTGCCCATGTCAGCAGACTTGGGTCACTGATTTATGATGCACCAGAGGTTGAGGGATCTTCACAGTGTGACGGCTGGAAGGAGACAATCCAGCTGGGGGCTAGCCAGCTGGCCGTTCGACCCCCGGATGCCGACACATTCTATCTCCTTAGCAGTAAAAATAAAATACATGCTTCTCCCCTCTTGCAAGGTCAGTTAAGCTAAAAGACAGTGACTGGTTCAAGGTCACCCAATAAGTTTCATGGATGAGTGTGGATTCCCAGGTCCTAGGCTGATACTCTAAGCGCTGGGATCCTTGAATGGAACAGATGATAAGTGCAGATCAGGGAATCAGTCACTTTGACACTCTCTCAGTTTCCCAGTCTCAGGTTCAGCTTCCTAAGTCTGCTTCCCAATTATTCTTTTTAAAGTCTTCGTGAAAATTCAACAACATTTTACTGTGAACTCAACTGCATACCTTTTGAATGCCTAATATGCACTTTTTTTTTGCAAAGCAAATTCTCCACATATATAATGCATTTTTATATACACTCTTTTCATGAACATATTCCCTGATACACACATTTTACCCTAGTATATGCATATATGCATATCTGCACGTGTTATTTGATTGGCGAACTGACTTGCAAAATTCAGAGAAGGGTGAATTTCGAAGGATGGATGTGTTTTGGTTCAGATCCTGTTTTAGGAATTAGGTAGGTTTGCCCTTAAACATGAACCAAATCCAATTCCCCACCCCCACCCCTATAGCTGTTCCAGTTCATTTTGTTATATTGCTTCAGAAATTTTTCATAGCAAAGGATTTCGAAAGGGCTGCTTCCCTCTAAGTAGGTGGCTTTTCACTTTCTATCATTTTACCCTTCAAATATTTAAAACAGAGGGATTGAAGGTCCAGATTAGAGCTTTAGTGATGATAACAATTTATTTTATTAAAAATAACTTAAGCTCACATTAGTTTCACTGTACATCTGGGATCAGCCGCCCACATCAACTGAGTGACATCCCTTCAGAAGAGGCAATGTGGAGTAGTGGTTAGATTGTTGGTTGAGGATCTGGGAGACCAGGGTTCAAATCTCCACTCACAAAGCTCACTAGGTGGCCTAGGGCCAGTCACTATCTCTCAGCCTAACCTGTGCTCACAGGACTGTTGTGACGATAACAGGAGGAGGTGAGAACCATTATTATTATTATTACCATTATTATTATTTCATACCATTATTATTATTTTATTATTTCTTAAATTATTTATTAAATTTGTATACCGCCCAGTATCCATAGGTCTCTGGGCGGTTCACAACATATAATCACAATATGAAAACACAAAATACATAATAAAAACAAGAACAACCCAATAACCCCCCGTCTTCCACAACACATTTTAAAAGGACTTTGGGTGTCAATCAGCCAAATACTGGGCTAAAGAGTACACTACCTTGAGCTACTTGGACAAAGCCATTTCCGAACTAGCGAGGAGAGGGGGTTGCGGGCGACCCCCTCCCACACGCGCGGGGGCTGATGTTTGCCCCCGCGAGATCAGGGGAATCCCCGGGCGTGCCTGCGATCCAACCCGCCAATCGGCGGGCTGGGGAGGCGTGGCCAGGGCTACTTAAGCCCAGGCATGCCCGGGGACCGCCCTCTTTCCCTTCGCCAGCCGGAGCAGGTTTTTCTTCCTTTCGATCAGCTGAGCGGCGGGTTTTTTCGGATCAGCTGAGCAGCGGGTTTCTTCGGATCGGCTCTCCGATCGGTTTTGAGAGCAGAGCCTTTGGTTGTTCGTTTTCGGTACTCTTGAGCAGAGCTTCACCTCGTATTTGTGCCTTTTTATCGCTCGCGACCTCAGCGCGAGCCTGAACTGCGGCACGTCCGAAGGAGCGGAAAGCCAGCGCAGCGGCTGCGGCGCCTCTTCCCGGTTGGGCTGAGCGCTCATCAGAGCACCTCGCGTTGCGTCTGCCTCCTGGAGTGCTACCCTGCTCCCTTTCCGTGGAGCTTTCAGTGCATTTTTCGGCAAGTCAAGTTCACCTGATTGCGCCGCCCGCTCCCTTTCGGTGGAGGCTTTCCGAGTCAGCAGGAATCCAAGCGCAGGCAGCCCGGAGGCTCGAGGTTTGGTCGTGCGGTTTCCTTTGTTATTTCTTGCAGTCTGCCGTGTCGCTTGGGCTCCCAAGGGGGGTTGCCTGGAGGGACGTGCATTGTTTTCTTGGGTTTTGGGGATCGCCTGCTTGTTGGTTACCAATAGCAGCAGACCACGTGGTATAGTATCGGCCGTCCGCCATTTTAAGTGAGGCATTAAGCCTCCTCCTTCTTTAACGGAAGCCATCTTGGTAAGGGCCACGTGGTTAGGCCCTGGCAGCCATTTTGGGGAGGGCAGTTCAACTTTTCAGGCGGCACAGGAAAAAGCCTTTGGCTTCGGCGCAGTCGGCTTTAGCAAGGAAAAAGCTTGCTGATTTCCCTAGATTCTTATATTTGGCTTTTCACTGCCCCCCCCTTTTGTCTCTTCTTTATGCTGGTTTGCTGTTGTGTGTACCACCCACTGGTCTAATTTCTTCCATTCTTCTGTTTAATTATTACCCTCCCTTCCATTATTCTGGGTGCTTGCCTATAATACTAATAATAGCAATAATAATAATTTTAACGCTTCAATAATACTTAGCTATAACAATAATACATTGCAATAAATAAACATAGTGCATATATATACGTATATTGGCTCGAAATAAATAATAAATAATTAAACGAATTAAATAAATAAATAAATAAACAAATACATACTTTGAAATAAATAAATAAAATAAAATAAAAAATAAATAAAAACTTATAATAATAAATAATAATAATAATAGCTAATTAAGTAAATAAACAAATAAATAAATAAATAAATAAATATATTCTTTCAAATAGATACCAAATTGTTGCAGCTTACTTCTGTCTGGCAACCGGGGGCGCACACACTTAGGTTACATCCCAGTTTTAATTTAGAGCCTTGCCGCTCCTTGTTATTAGTGGTGTTCGAGTAAACACATAGATAATAGAATAAACACCAAGTAAAGCAAATAAATAATCACATAAATAAATAGTATACAGAAATTTGGTCCGTGGTTCCATTTTTAGCCTCTAGGTGTTGACAATACTGAACTAGTCAGACCCCGGGGGGCCTGTGTGTTGTTGTTTCTGTGTGTTGTTGCTGAGTTGGTGGCTTTTCTTGCAAGTACCCCAGTTGCGCGCACTTTCGTGTACAGTTGTCATGGCCACCGGTGGGGACCAACAGGCTTCCACCTCTGGAAATCAACCCGCGCCTGGCACAAGTAATAGTAGTGTGCAAATGGGGGCCATGCCCTGTGACCCACAAGCTTTCGCTCAATTTTTCCGGGCATTTGAAACCTTCTATAGGCAATGTAGGCCCGGTCCTCTGGTTACCCCTTCCCTGGAACCGTCGCAGGAGGTAATACCAGACACTCCTCCTGTCTACCAAGGCCAGCAAGGAATCCCAGCCGCTGCAGGGGGCGGTGTGCAGTTGGGGAACCAAAGCGCAGGTCGTCCTAACACTAGAGCTCAGGCAGCCATTACTCGAAGGGCCAATCAGAGCACTGGTAGGGGAAAAACATCGGGAAAAAGCTCTGGCAAGGGAAAAGGCACGTCAAGAGGGTCGGGAAGTGATGCCACTTCACAGGCTGTAGGCATACCTAGTGTTTTTCAGGAGCAGCAGCCCCAGCACAGTTCTACCGAGGACAGTGCGGGTTCCGGCTTGGAGGAGGAACATGGGGAGGCTCGACCGGGACAGCAGCCGACTGTAGCGACTTCACCCGTCCCAGAGGTACAGGGTGGAAAACGAAAATCTAAGAAGAAGCACACCTCCTCAAAAAAGAAAAGGAGCAAACAGTCCGATACAGAGGATGACTCAGGTACGTCTTCTTCTGATTCTGACAGTGAGGGCCCCATGGATGCTTATTGGGGCTTGGGTGAAGGGAACCATGGGATCCCGCTGTGGGCGCATGAGAGGCGAGCTAATTCCCATCGTAAAACTTTTAATGGGGTGCTGGATTGGAAGGATGGGGCCTTGGTAGAGGATGTAAAGGTGGCCACCAATCAATCCACCGATTTCATTCTGGGGAACCATTTGTCCCAGAGGAAAAGGAATAAAATCCTCAATGGGGACTATGTGGATATGTTCACCCTGCTCCCACCTACTAAACTATTGGGTAAGGGTGAAAAGAGGCGCTCTTCAGGTAAGGGAAGATACAGGACCCCCAGGGCGGAGCGCACCTTCGAGAACTGGTTGGACGGGTTCCAGGTCTTTATGGGTGTCGTTTGCGCTGCTTATCCGCGGCGCTCAATGGATTTGGTGGCCTACCTGGCTCACGTGAGGCGGGCTCACTCGCTCGCAGGGGAGCAAGCTGCGCTAACATATGACGAGAACTTTCGTAGAAATGCTTCTCTCCTACCTTCCACCCGTTGGGACCTGACCGACCCGAACTATTGGGGCGAAGACGTCAATCCCTACATCGATAAGAAAAATTTAGCTTCTGCCAAGGCGGGTAAGATGGAGGTAAAACGACGTCGCCTCTGCTGGGAGTTCAACAGGGGCGCGTGTTCGAGATCCTCATGTAAGTACTTGCATGAGTGCGATCGGTGCTGGGGGAGTCACCCCGCATCCGCGTGCTTCAAGAACAAGCAGCAGCCCTTTCGGGGGGGCAGGGGGTACTTCCACAATAACACCAGAGGTGCCCCCGGATCTTCCCACCAAGGACCTGGTAACCGCCAGTAATCAACACCTGGGTTTGGCCTTCTCCCCCGTCCGTTTGCAGTCGCTCAAACTCCTCCTCGAGCAATACCCCGATCGCAAAGCCGCGCTTTATTTGTGGGAGGGGTTCTCCAAAGGATTCAGAATCCCAGTAGCCTTCCCGCCCAATGCTGGGAACCCAAAAAATCAAAAATCAGTTAGGGAAAGACCAGAAATAGTTAAGAAAAAGATTGAAAAAGAAATTAGAGCGGGTCGGGTGGCTGGCCCTTTCCTTAACCCACCCTTGGAGGGACTTCACCTGTCCCCCCTTGGCATCGTGCCAAAAAAGGCCCCGGGGGAGTTCCGCATGATCCACAACCTCTCTTACCCAAGAGGAGGTTCGGTCAATGATGCGATCCCCCATGAGCTGTGCACAGTGAAATACGCCTCCTTCGATCAAGCAGTGAAAATGATCCGCAGTTTTGGGAAAGGGGCGCTCTTAGCCAAATGCGACATTGAGTCTGCCTTCCGCCTTCTTCCGGTTCATCCGGATGATTTTCGCTGGTTGGGTTTCAGTTTTGGGGGAGCCTATTTCATCGACAAGGCTATGCCTATGGGGTGCTCTGTGGCTTGCTCAGCCTTTGAATCATTTAGTACATTTCTTGATTGGGCATTACGCTTCAAAACCGGCTCTCAGGGCGTGTCTCATTACCTCGATGATTTTATTTTAGTGGCAGATACCATACAGCGATGCTCCTCCCTCCTAGAGGCTTTCACTACCCTAGCCGGGGAGCTTGGAGTTCCGCTAGCCGCTGAGAAAACTGAGGGCCCGTCCACCTCTTTGGTCTATCTGGGTATTGAATTAGACACCGTTGCCCAGACGTCCAGGTTGCCTGAAAACAAATTGCTTGCTCTTAAGGCCATCATACAGCAGTTACTGCCCCTAAAGAAGGTTACCCTGAGGCAAATCCAATCCCTGCTGGGACACCTAAATTTCGCCTGCAGGGTAGTGTCGCCAGGGCGCCCCTTCTGTGGACGGCTGGCCAGACTATCCGCGGGCCTGAGGGCCCCGCAGCATAGAGTACGCCTCTCTAAGGAAGTCAAAGCAGATTTGGTAATGTGGTTACAATTTCTTGACAAGTTCAACGGTATATCCTTATGGCAGGATTCCTTGGCTCTGGATGCAGATTTCCAAGTTCACTCCGACGCTGCGGGGTCTTTGGGTTTCGGTGTCTATTTCAGGGGTCAGTGGTGTGCACAGAAATGGCCCGCTGACTGGCAGGGACAACCCATCTCTCGGGACCTTACTTTCCTGGAATTTTTCCCTATCGTGGTTGCAGTACATCTTTGGGCGGAGCAGTTCCGTAATCATAGGGTTTGTTTTAACACAGATAACCAGGCGGTGGTCGCGGTTCTTTCTAGGCAATCCGCGCGTTCTACCAGGGTGGGAAACTTGCTCGGTCCTTTGTCCTCCTTTGCCTGGAACAGAATATATACTTCTCCGCCAAATTCGTACCTGGGGTTAATAACGACATCGCGGACGCTCTATCTCGTTTTCAGATGGAGCGCTTCCGCTCGTTAGCGCCGGACGCGGAGCAATCATCGATGTCTTTCCCGGAGCATCTCTGGAGCCTTGGGAACAGGAAGTGATGAAGGGAGTATTCGGTGCAGTCGCCCCATCCACAATGAGATCATATGGGAAGGCCTGGGCTGACTTCTTAACGTTCCGTGGCAGTATGCTGTGCGCTAGGCGAACCGCGGTGCCCTCTACGAGGGAGGTCCTCCGCTATTTAACCCATTTGAAGAAGCTGGGCCGGGCACCGAGGACTCTCAATATTCAGTCCGCGGGGATTTCCTACTTTTGTAAAGCCTTTTTTGCCACTGACCCGTGTGCGCAATTTATCGTGCGCAAGACCTTAGAGGGTTGGCGTCGGCAACAGCCCCCCAGCTCTGACAAGAGAAAACCCATAACGTATGATATTCTGACCCAGATGCACAAAAAACTAAGGGAGATTTGCTGGTCAAAGTACGAAGCTCGACTATTCTCGGCCGCTTATTCCATAGCCTTCTTTGGCGCCCTGCGCATAGGCGAGGTCGTCTGCGAAGGGGGGACTGACCACTCCCAGAGGGGTATCCTTTTAAGTGATCTGACCCTATCAGAGACTGACCTCATAATTCAGGTCCGAAATTCCAAGACGGACCAGCAGGGTAGGGGGGCTCTCCTGCGTTTACTAGCGGCAAAAGTTCGTGGTCCATGTCCGGTTAGGGATACGAGGCGTTTCCTCTACTTAAGACCCAGGGGTCCTGGCCCCCTCTTTATTCACGAGGATGGATCGCTTTTGGCCAGGCATCAGTTTTCGAGGGTGATGCGCATGGCGTTGGCCGCCTGCGGTCTGCCCGCAACCGATTTTGCGGCCCACTCTTTCCGGATCGGGGCTGCGACTACTGCAATGCATCTTGGGCTTTCGGCAGAGAGGATTAAGGACTTGGGGAGGTGGAAATCTAATGCATACAAAGCTTATGTGAGAAAGAACCTTTGACTTCTGATAGTTCCCCTGACCCTGCCTTCCCTGTCTATTTTCCTTTCAGAATGCAAGCGGGTGCGCATCTGGTTGGTGGGCCACAGCATCGTCTATTGGGCCAAAAATCGCGCTATGGTTAACGGCTTGGGCCCGAATTTGAGCCTGCCAAAGAATGTCGAGCTGGTGTGGATAGCCCGAAGGGGCATGCGATGGTGTGAATTCAAGGCAGTGGTGATGGCAAAAGCTGCATCCGTGGGCCCGCCCGATGCGCTGGTTATCCAGCTAGGGGAAAACGACCTTGCGTACCGCAAGGCTATTGACTTGAGATGGAACATCTTTGACGACTTTGCTGAACTGAAGGCAGCTTACCCTGATATGGCCATTTTGTGGTCCTCGTTGCTTGAGAGGAGGACCTGGAGGGATTGTGTGAGCCCGGTTGGAATCAACAAAGCACGAAAGGTTTTGGAACGGGCTGTGAGTCGTAGAGTGGCGGCACTGGGCGGGTGCGTCATAGGGCACCCAGGCATCCAGTACAGCAATGAGGCCCTCTACAGACGGGATGGCGTGCATCTGTCAGATGCTGGTAACGATATTTGGCTGGGGGATATCCTAGCAGGGATTAGGGATTGGTTACAGTTTTGAAGGTATTGGCGGCGAGCTTTGCTCGAGTGGCGGTTAGGCATTGGCAGGGGTTCATTGTTATGCAAATGAGCGGGGGGGAAAGGAAGCGCCATCACCTTCCCCCATGAAAAGGGTAGTCCGGTAAAGGACTCCGGTGGGGCGTGGCCTTGTCCGAAACCTTCGGGAGGTGAGGGCCCCCGGCACGCCCCCGAGCGGTGACACCCGTGGGATCCTAGTTGGCGTACTTCAACAGGACTCCCACGGTTTGTGGTTAACCCTTCCCGGCTTGGGTGCCGGGTAGTTGTTAGGAGCCAATGCCTAAGGCCAATACCTTTCAATTCTGTAATCAATAAAGTTGTGGCCTATTTATGCCCATTAACCTTAAATAACGTGTCCAGTGTCTTCATTCCACATGGGGGAGGGGTCTAGCCACGCAAAGCCATTTCCGAACTAGCGAGGAGAGGGGGTTGCGGGCGACCCCCTCCCACACGCGCGGGGGCTGATGTTTGCCCCCGCGAGATCAGGGGAATCCCCGGGCGTGCCTGCGATCCAACCCGCCAATCGGCGGGCTGGGGAGGCGTGGCCAGGGCTACTTAAGCCCAGGCATGCCCGGGGACCGCCCTCTTTCCCTTCGCCAGCCGGAGCAGGTTTTTCCCATCCCGCCCACCCTTAGGTTGGACAGCTACGACCTTGCTATGGACCTCGGTTGGTCGCCGTATGGGGCCTGGTAGGAATTTTTCCAAGTTGGCTCTTCTTCAGCCTTTTGGTTTTTTCGCCTACCTCGTAGCAATCGTCACAACTTCATCGGTATTTGGCGGTTAGGCATTGGCAGGGGTTCATTGTTATGCAAATGAGCGGGGGGGAAGGAAGCGCCATCACCTTCCCCCATGAAAAGGGTAGTCCGGTAAAGGACTCCGGTGGGGCGTGGCCTTGTCCGAAACCTTCGGGAGGTGAGGGCCCCCGGCACGCCCCCGAGCGGTGACACCCGTGGGATCCTAGTTGGCGTACTTCAACAGGACTCCCACGGTTTGTGGTTAACCCTTCCCGGCTTGGGTGCCGGGTAGTTGTTAGGAGCCAATGCCTAAGGCCAATACCTTTCAATTCTGTAATCAATAAAGTTGTGGCCTATTTATGCCCATTAACCTTAAATAACGTGTCCAGTGTCTTCATTCCACATGGGGGAGGGGTCTAGCCACGCAAAAAGGCAGGGTACAAATGTAATAAAAAAATAAAAATAAAATCACCCTTGAGGGGTTATAGACATAATGGCAGGAGTCAAAAGAAAGGTTCATTCACAACTTAAGAAGGAAAGTAGGAGCTAACGCTTGTACCTTAGATCCCAAAGCCCCGGAACTCGGATGTTTTTGCTCCCAAACACTGCAAACCCAGAAGTCATTGTTCCAGTTTGTGAACATTATTTTGGAACCCAAACATCTGATGGGGCTTCCATAGCTTCTGATTGGCTGCAGGAAGCTCCACGATTTGGTTTTCGAAAGGTTTTGGAAGTCGAACGAACTTCTGGAATGGATTCTTTTTGACTTCCAAGGTACGACTGTAATGGCAAAAAAAGAGAGAGGCTTCTTAGAAACTCCAGGATCGCTGCCAGAGGCTTTAGTATTTGGTCTGCTTGAAAAGAGTGCCAAATGTGTGCTCTAATTGCCCTAACAGGGTTCTACCTGAACACAGTTCAGAAGTCATTAAATGGCATTGCTTCAAAATGGGGCAGTTAGCAGAAAAGGGCTAAAACAGAAACAACAAGAGGAAAGGAATTTGGAAAAAGACCCCTTCTCTCTTCCTTCCAGTGTCCTGTTTGTGCCTTATTACTGTAATTCCTACACTGTGTACTGAGGCAGATCACAGACTACCATGACAGGATCTGAAAATATGCTTTGGAAGATTAAG